GATGTGTAGAAGCAGCAGCTCTACTTTGAGCTCGTTCTGAATGTCTGAGCTCCTCACCTTATCTCTAAGACTGAGCCCAGACACTGCGAAGGAAACTCATTTCCGCTGCTGGTATCTATGATCTCATTCTTTCAGAAGCTACCCAAAAGCTCGTGACCATAGGTAAGGGTAGGAACATTAATCGACTGATAAATCGATTCGCTTTCTGGCTCAGCTCATTCAAGACAGACCGGTACAGCATCCGCATAACTGCTGATTCTCTAACAATCCACCTGTCAATCTCCAGCTCCAATCCTCCCTCACTCGTGAACAGGACCCTGAGACATAAACTCTAACGCTTGAGGCAGTAACTCTTCCCTACCCTGGAGGGGGCAATCCACCCTTTTCTGGTTGAAAACCACGACTTCAGAGGTGCTGATAATTATCTTGGTTGTTTCATATTCAATTTTCATACAAATAAAAGTACGAAAAAGTACAGATACCACAACAAAATGTTACTCAATTAAGTAAAACTCATCCAGTAAAATACTACAAGTAAAATTACAAAAAAATACCTGGTTTTAAAAATATTTAAGTGAAAAATACTATACATTGAGATTTATTGTTCTTACAAGATGCAACCTATTCTTTTAAATTCACCCAAGACAGGTTTGAATATAGCATTTTAAGTTACAGTGCAGTACAATAGGAAAACTGAATCACAAGAGGGTAAGCGGATGTTTTCTTTTTATTTAAAAATGGCTGTGAAACTTGTTGAGCTTGCTGGCATAGATAGTGGAATGATGATTTAACTCTGTGCTAAACAAAAGATCAATCTAGACGCCAGATTTATTAATGAATTTAAAACCCTCTTTCTCCACAATGGAAAATGGCTGATCGTCCAATGCAATCATCACCATTATTTCAGTATTACCTCTAGCGCTGATAATTATGAATACTGATAAAGTTTAAACAACAGATAGCAATTAAAATATTGCTCAAGAATTGTGAGAGAAAATCGTGATCTCAATTCAGAGTGAAAAAATTGTGATTTTACCTAGGATTGTGGAAGCCTACTCAGGTGTGCTGCATGCAATTGATTTTTAACATTTTTTTTAAGTGAGTAATGATGGTGTTATGTCAAATGTATCTTTTAGTACAAGATACCGTCTCAAGGAGTTTGTAAAAGAATACAGGCCCACTATTAAGTCAATACCTCAGGCTCGGATTCTTCTGGTTGGTGATGTTGGTGCTGGAAAATCAAGCTTCTTCAACTCCATCAACTCTATCTTCAGTGGCTGTATAACAGGCCAAGCCAATGCAGGAGTCAGTGTCACCAGCCTGACCCTGAAGGTAATGTGATAATCTAAGTCTTCCTATTATGGGGCCTGTATCACAATGCTGGTTCAATGAGGTCAGGCTTCGAAGATAAGTTTCATTTTGACTAAACCAAACGCAAAGATAATCAGTATCATGATGGTGACTATCAGCAAACTGTATCAAACCAGGTTCTTAATGAAATCAAGATTATTGCCTGAGTGCATGCAGCTATACTTCAGGTATACTATGCAGGTATACTTCAGTGCTTCTTATGAATTTTCTATGAATGCATAAAGAATACATTATGAAGGTGCAGTTAATGTAAAGTGTTACTCAATTTTCTACTGCAGCGATTTTTTCAGATAGCCATAGTCATGTTGTTGTGTATGTCCCACTTACACACACATTCAACCTTTGCCAAATCTAGTCTTAAATTAGACACAGATGCTTGTAATAGGAATTCAGTGTAGCCCCATCTTTTCACTTTGTCTCATTCTGAAATCTATTCCCAGTCAGACGTAACTAGCGTCACAACAGATATCAAGGCACCAGTTCCACTATTGCATTACCCATTATAATTACTATCAATGCATGATTATAAAATGCATTACTAAAGGATAGCACAAAAAATAGTGCAACAGAACTGCATACATATCACGTCTAAGTGTTAGTTTCCTTTATAGTTTGCCCAAAATTTGGATGTAAATTGAAAAAGTACTAGAAAAAGTCTCCACACACTGCTCATTCATGATAGCACCACACCAGACTCACGTATGTCAAATAATGTGTGCAGCTGAGCAAATGTACAGTATTAGCAGTAACTAATGTGGTCTATATATGAATGAATGTTACATTCATATAGCACTTTCTAAAGAACCCAAAGAACTTTACAGAACGAATGGGGAGCCACTTCAACCACCCCCACTGTGTAGCCCCCACCTGGATGATGTGACAGCAGCCATTCTGTGTCAGTACACTCACCACACAGTAGCTAAGGTGGTGAAGGGGCAGAATACAGGGAGAGGGCTCAATTGGTTTACTCTTATACTGGTACAAGAATACTACTATAGGTAGTGCTATCGACTCCCACTGGAAAAGCTGTCAGAAGATGAATGACATCATGTGTCTTCTTATAGTATCACACTTACCAGGTGAGGGTGGGCCAAGGTGGACGGGCTCTCCCATTCCTCCTGGGTGACACTATGGGATTGGAAAAAAGAGCAAATGAAGGGGTGAGCGTTGAAGATATTGACAGCATCCTGAAGGGCTACATAAAAGATGGGTACCAGGTAAGAACTGTGTGTCTAACCAGGCCTCAAAAGCACCTGCAGTATGAACACATGCAGGTCTGATCACTGTAATGGCTTACAGAAGTCACATGTTTATCATTTTTCTTCCCAAACTCTTTTCTGATGAAACCAAATGTCATTCACTGTTTTTTTGTTTGTTGTTTTAGCATTAATAATATACTGTTGTTACACAAATGTCATATGAAATGACTCGCTTAACATTTTGCTGGTGTTTCTCATGATATCAATGTCAGTGTCTGTCTGAGTGTACCTCATTTTGTTTGTCTAGTTTAACCCTACAAAACCATGGAGCCAAGATGGCGATCAATGTCACATTCCACCACTCCAGAAGAGGATCCACTGTGTGGTGTTTGTGGTAGACGCCTCAAAACTTCCACTTATGAATTCAGCCGAAGACAACAGTAAATTCATTCAAATCAGGAACAAAGCTAACCTGCTTGGTTAGTGACAGCCGTCGCGTATGTGATTTGAATGTGTTGTGTTGAACTCAACCTGCCTTTCCTGAAGCATGAGTAATACTAAATACTCATTCAGTAACATGAAAAATTAACCTTGAATAATGTATTTGGATATTCAGCATAAACCCAGAGAAATTCAGTTTTCTGGATTGGAAAATGGCAAACTGAATGTTTTCCGTACCTTTGGCATAAACAGTACTCATGTCATAACTGAAGGAGCTCCTGGATGCCCCTCCACACAGAGCTGCTCCATCTAGGAGAAACTTGAGGGCTTTCTGTCACATAGAGCCCATTTAAACGTTTTCGACTGAATACTGGGACATGAACATGATCTTAACACATGTGGATTCAGGAAGGGCAAAGTGATGCTGGCAGGTGCTTCTGAGTAAGACAGACATCAGTGTGCTGAATGCTATGGGTTTGCTTAAGATATTCTGTCACCTAATGACAGCTTATTCCATAGAACATACAATATGTCACTAGTGAAACTTTTCTGTTGATGTTTTTAGATGTCCCTGTAATGGTTCTACTGACCAATGTGGACAAAGTGTGCCCACACGTGCAAAAGGACTTGAAGAATGTGTACTGGAGTAACTACTTAAAGGAGCAGGTGAGTTTCAGGGTGTATGGGGAGGATGGGGGCGCCGGAGGTAGTGCTATCGTTCGGCAACTGGAGGGTTGCAGGTTCGAGCCCTGGTTTCTCCTGTCCCCATCAAAGTGTCCTTGAGCAAGACACTGAACCCCAAATTGCTCCCGGAGTGCAGGTTGGCGCCTTGCATGGCAGCCTCTGCCGCCGGTGTATGAATGTGTGTATGGATGGGTGAATATGAGGCATAAAATTGTAAAGCACTTTGGTACTCGTAAGAGTAGAAAAAAGTGCTATATAAATGCAGTCCATTTACCATTTAACGCTGGAATCGGTCCTGAAAGCTGCACTGACGTATCAGGACAGTATTGGTAGAAACCTGCAGCAGGACTCTTGACTAGGAAATGGACCTGAATTTCTCCAGCAAATATATGCAGCACAATAAATGAGTGAAAGGTGCCCTGCGATGAGCTGGCATCCTGGCCTGGGTGTGTCCTTCCTCAGGTCCTCTGTTTCCTGGGATAGACTCAAAGATGG